AAGAGATTTTCACTCTTGTCTTTCTTTCTCCTCCTTTATTTCATTATAGAGTATTTTGTAAGAAAGTGAGTGTTGAAAAACACTTGTGTGAACCCTTTCTTTGGAGTGATCTTGTGAGGTTATTCTCTTGGGGTATTTAGAGTATTTACTCTAATTTTGTACTCTCTTTTGTACTCTTGTTGGTATAGTAAAATTGTTCATCTCCGCTTGTGGACGTAGGTCACCTTGACCGAACCACGTTAAATTTGTGTCTTCTTTATATTCTTTAATTTCCGTTATTATCAACTTTCATTGTCTTTGTTATTGTCATTATACCGTTGTTTGGCTAAATTCCGCACTACCCGGGTTCCCGGTCCTAACATATTTAAGGTTCCATACTTACATTGAGTTTGGAAGGTTCATTTATATGTCCAGTCCAATAAGTGGACTCAAAATTGATTTGCTTACTTGGGTGGGGATTGACTTGTAGCATTTTGACACCAATTTTGAGTTGTTTGAGTAGCTTGAGGTAGAGTTGTTGAATTCGGGGAATCACTACTCTTCTTGCAAGTTATTTTGTTGTGACCACTCCCTAACTTCCCTTTCTTACTCAATTTGGTAACATCATGCATTTCACTTGTTGCAGATTGTTTTTTCTTTTTCTCTCTTCTTTGTTTTTTCATCTCAACTGCTTTTCTTAATGACAGGCTCATAAATCCTCGTTTGAGTAGTCTTCATGTATGAAATTTTCTGGATTCTCTCTTATATGGAATATGAAGCTCATTGCATGTGAGCATGGGATTCCTGTAAGGTCCTATCCATGTTCACCATACATGGTCTTTACTTGAAATAAAAGTTTTTCAGCCTAAGTAGGAATTGATGTAGCAGAGTCTTCCTTCACTTTTTCTACTCGTTTTCGGATTCGAGGGCATAAATTTCCTGTTATAGTAAAATATTGTCAGGATCATGTTAAAAAGCTCCATGGTGAATCTTCAATGTAAAAAGCTCATTATTTATACTTGTGACAATGCAAGGTTTAAAATTATTTTAGCTAGCTTAATTTCTAGATTAGATAAAAAAAAATACATATTGAAGAACTACTTTTGGTATCAGAATATTCAATAAAAGTAAACAACTACGGCCAACAAAAGAGCTAAATTGACACAAGGCCTGTTTTATCCAAAGTAGAGTAAGAGCTTAAATGAATTGATCTTTCTTTATTGATTTACATGATAGTATTCAGAGTTGTTTGAAATTTTGATAGATTTGCAAACCTTTCTTTCTGGTGCATTGTTGTAGTGAGTTGAGTTTTGTGATTAATTTTAAAAAAAAGCAATAGCAGATAGAGGATGGGACAAGAACATGTTAATGATGGATTGCATCTTACGCATTGCAGACAATAATTAAGCTTTTGGCAATTCAACACCCATCAAAAAAGGATACACATTACGCAATTATTGTTGTTATATTTGGACAAATATAATAATTGGATCCAGGCCCAATCACCAACTATATAGCGACCACAAGAGAAGCCCAACCTTTTCCTCAATTCATTAATTAACGGGTCATATTATATGGGCCTATTAGGTCTTCCTACATTCTCAATCCTAATCCTAATTAGTCACATTTAATCACAGATTCTTCATCCCTTATTTATTTACTATTCCTATATTCACTATTCTTTCTTCTCTTCCTCAAATTCTTCACTGAGAAGAAAATTCAACAAAAAAAATTAAATTAAACTTTTTTCTTCAGAAGAATTATAATTTTTTGATGAATTCTGATCAACAGCCTAAACATTACTAATGGTTGATAATCAGGAATTACCAGAAGCAGCACAATGTATGATCACAGAAAAAGAAAGAGAAGTAGCAGAAATTCTGTTAAACTTACCGGAGCTTATAGCTAAATTAAGTGATTATGGTAAAGAACAACTTCTTCCTTGGGGCTGGAAAAAACGGAGATCCGCCATTAATTATCCTCTAACTCCATTACCGTCCCCAGAACTTCAACAATCACCACCGGCAGCTGACTTCTCCCCGTCACCGTCACCGTCACCGTCATCCTCACCAAAACTGCAGAGATTCAAGCCTAGAGTTGCCAACACTAAGGTTAACGCCGTTAAACTCAACTCACTTCTCCATGCTAGTTTAGCTGATGCCCAATGCTAATGCTCGTGGAATTATTTTATGTCCAAGTAAAATTAGGAAAAAAGGTCTAAATTTATCATTCTTTTCATCCTTATACTTCATGTTGAACTTCGTAAAGTGCAAGGGCAAATAAATTTGCTAATGAAAGGATTTGAATGACCTCAAAATACAATAAAACGTAGAATTTAGATATTTTACTGTAGTAAGGATTATGTTTTGATTATTTTCCCTAAAACTAATCACTTTGTATATTCTTATTATCCAACAATTCAATAGAATAGTTTTGGTGGTTATTAAATTCCTCCATAGACATGGGGAGGTATATTTCCTACTTTTTGGGTGTCCGAATTTGAGATTTATTCTTAGTATCTTTTTTTTATTACGAGTTAAATCTCGAATCTTTTCTTTCTCTCTTTTTATTTATTTATTGGATGATTAGTCTTTTATCTGACTTAATAAATTTGTGTTATTTTACGTATAGGACCAGTTGCTGCAGCAAATTAATGAGTTAACACAGCGGGAAAAGGTTTACCAACAGGTTGCGGTTAATTATTTTCCTATATATATTCTCAATTAAGTTTTCTTTCTATGTTGCTTTCAATTTTCTTATAATTTTTATTCAATATTAAGTATTATGTTAATATATTCACATAAATATTGAAACAGGAGTTGCTCAAGGTCCAGAGTCACCTAGAGAGGCAAATAGAATTCAATACCACCTTGAAAGAGTTAACTGGAGCAACAACTTTGGCATATACAGATTAGTTTTCTCTTCTAATCATCAGAGTATTACTTATACTTAATATATATATATATATAACTTATTATCATTGTATTTGTGAGATGGTGTTGATTTGATAGATGAAAAAGGTAATATAAAGCTTTTATCTTGATTAGCATTAAACGATTGTATATGGAGTTAGGACTAATCATGATTTTATGCCGTGACCAATATTCCAATTAAGTTCTAAAATTATTTACGATGTACTTGATGTTACAGTGCATGGCTGATTCAAGGAATTAATTTGGGCAACTTTTACATTTTACAGGTTGGCCAAAAATAATTACATCCGCTTAGCCAAGTCTATAAAATATATATACGGTATATTATCTATCTATATATTATTATAAAAGTACGAATACAATGTTGATAGACCAAAATAACCTTAAAATAATTTTTACTAAAAGTCACAATTGATAATAATACACGTTAAAATAAAGAGTTGTAATTGTAATCGAAATTGTACTTAGTATTTAAGATTTTGCCTGAAATGTGCCTAATTTGTAATGGGTTCTAACAATTTTTTTCCTTTTTTTCACAAGAACGGGGATTAACTATTGTTTACCGAAAAAATCGGATAACGTTAGATTTGTGTATGGTTCTAAGGATATGCGATACAATTCGATATAAATCGCGTAGAGAAATGGAAATATATGTATTGTTGGCTGTGAGAATGAAAATAATAAGCAAAAAAATGAATAAGTAAAACCAACATAAGGGGATAACTATCAATATAAGAAGTGATCTTCCTTTCTCCTGGTTTTCCTCTCTCCCCTTTGGCTTACAAGGATCCCCCTTTTATAGAAGAGGGTTATTATAAAAAATAATAAAACATATAGTGGAAGGCCCATGATGACTTGTCTCTTCTCGATTCCCGCCAAGATTCTCTCTCTTGGTGCGATTGCAACGGCTCTTGTCTGTGAGCTCGATACTAGCTCGAACTCGTTACTGGGTCGGGCCCTTCGGTCTCGGATCGAGTTCGACCTTCGATATGGACGTCGCGTATTTCCGACCTCGAAGCAATGCCTTGCGGATCGATTCGGCCACGGGCTCGATAGGATTATCGAGCCGCCTCCTCGAGTGACCTTCGGGCTCGAGGTTCATTAGTACCAACCTCAGAGCTCACTCCCAAAACCTCATTCCGGCTTTTTAACAAACGAACTCGATCGAACGTAGGAAGGTCGAAATCTATTTCGACCGTATACAACTATTTCAATAGTTTTAGTTTGATTAGGATTAAAAGGGTTCTTAGTCAGATTTTGTTATTTTCTTACTTCAATTTTAAAGCAAGATTCATTGCCTTAATAATGGATAAATTATCCTTTTTTACATTATTCTTCACATAACTTTGTAGGTTATTTTGGTCAAAACAATTTAAATAAAATTCTATTAAAATACTAATTCCGAATGTAATAGACTTTCTATATTGGAAATTGATGTTGGCCGTGAGTTGGGTCTTCTGGGGAGCTTTTCTTCAGTTTATTTTAAGGTTTTTTTTTTTTTTTTTTTTTTTTTTTTTTAACTTTTAGACAAGGCAAAGAATAATCTGCTAATTGAAATAATAAGTTTTAAAAAAAATATATAGAGTAAAATAACTTATTATTCCTATCATGTCAAAATTGTAACGAATTAATTTTATATTCTTCAAAAGTTAACTATTTTTTTATAAATAGTTTTTTGTCGGATAAAATTATAATATATAAAGATTTAAATTAAGTAATAATAGAGTTCTTAAAATTTATAATGAAATTTTATAACAAAGATTTATTTCACTAAAGATTCACATGTCAGAATAATAGTTCAGAACGCATAATAACTTTTGAAAAAAATATCAACTAAAAATTGTTATTTTCCTACAATTGTAACATTCAGAATAAAATACTTACTTTCCCTAGATCAACAGGACAACAACAATAACATTGCAACTCCAAAACGTTCACATTGTTGTGTTAGATTTAAAATGCTAATTTTCTTTTTTCACTTTTTTCTTTCAATATATAATTGGGGGGAGAATTAAAGGTAAATTTTCCTCTAGATATATTTTGCTTTTTTTGAGTGTTGTACTGTTCGAAGATGTTTGGATAACGGTCGGTAGATTTATCAAGAGATATGAGATTGTTAGTACGCACGTTGCAGAGAAAAAAGAGAAAAAAAAAATAAACGAACAAAAGACATGTCCCAACTACTTAGAACTTTCCTTAGTTGTTTAAAATCACCAAAAGTTTAATTGATTTTAAAGAAAGAAAAGGAAAAGATTGAAATTACAAAATGATAAATCCATCTCTTAGATTAATCAAGACCGTTCAGAAAGATTGAAATATCCAATATTAGTTTTTCGTTATAAAATCTTGAAAGATTATTTTAATGTAGTCATAAAACCTTAAAATTTTGAATTGAATCAACAATCAGGTAAAGCATTTAAATTCAACAATTAACTTTATTATATTATTTATTAAATAAAATATATATAATTCTGACGTAATATTTGTACTTACGATACTACTGGAAAAAGAAAGATTAACAAACTATTGTGACATCAGACAATATAAACCAAATCATGCTCAATCAGTTTATTAAATATGCTCCGAGCCGAAGACATGAATAAAACAGAAAAAATATCTCTATTTGGTTGAACTACCGACGATAAGGCATAGTAAATATTTATACTCCAACAAAATTATTTGTTTTTTTAATTTAGCCTATTAGTGATGAACCATAAGGCCCCTCTTCATTAGAGACTTACTTATTATTAATAGAAGAAAGATTCAAAACATTCAAAGAAGTTGCGAAATAAATATTAGTAAACTTAGATAACAACATTTCAGAATATTTTGGTGAGGCAATCCTCGATCTTCTAAATACTATAAGCTATCCGAAATTTATTAACAACTATATTAGTGTATTGTAATCCAACCGATGTTAGAAGGTTGTAAGAACATATTATGAAGAAATGTTAGATGACTTTAGAAGGATACATGAAAATTCATCTAATAATCAATATTTGTGTGCATTAAAAATTATTAGTTATTTATTAGAGAGTACGAGCAATAGTGTAGAAAATACGACATACCAAAACTTGATTAGGGGCTAGATGATTAACAGAGAAATAATTGAGGAAAATTCAAAAAAGTACATATGAAAAAATTCAATGCACAATCAAAGCTAAACCTTGATCAGGAACAAGTTTTCAAGACTATATTGCAAAAAGATGATTCTAACGAAGTAAAATTATTTTATGTGAATGGACTTAAAGGAACTGAAAAATATTCCTATATCGTGATTTACTAGCAAAATTATGAGGTATAGTAGCCTTAGCAATATAAATAAGTGGTGTAGCAATATGATTTAATCTAGGTCGCAGGACTCGCTCAAAATTTAACATTCCTCTTTAAATAAATGAGATAATCATCATAAATATGTGAAATCAAAGTGATGATACTGAATCGACAAGAAAAGCACAATTGATAATCTGGGATGAAGCACCTACGGGGGAGTGTCAGATAATTGAAACAATTGTCATGAGCTTTAGAGATCTAATGGATATCGATAAACCATTTGACCAAGAAACGTGATTTGTAAAGGTGATCTCCGTCAAGTACTACCCGTAGTTCTAAAATCGATGAGAATATAAACAGTCAATGTTAGCTTGGTATATTCATATATATAATATCAAATGAAAGGCTAATAAAAAAATATGCGAAGAAGAAAACATTCAACATCCGGTGAGTTTCACCTTGTTTCAAGTGAAGATAAGTATACAATTAGCATGACTTGGTCATTCTCTAATTTAATTGAGTTTAAAGCGCAATTGTAATAGTAGTGCTGAACATTGCTTAATAAGAGATATATTTCTTATTAAATTAAAATACAAGATGTGCAAAATATATGAATAAGAAAAGATTATCTTAACTTGAAGAAATGAATATGTCGATCAACTAAGATGTTGATTATTAATATATAATTTAGCAAAATATTTAAAGTTTACTACTTTCATATAAATAATTGACTATAAAATATACGTGCAACGCACGTACATAGAAACTAGTTATACAAAAAATATATTTTTTGCTGGCGTGGAGCGATTATACAATGTTGTTTTTCCAATTAAATTGTGTCAATTATCCGAGGATTGATCTATATTGATCACTGAAAGCTCTCTATCGGCCTCATGTATATGTAGGTCGTGCATACCGTACCGAAACCGAAAATTTTGGTATTTGATATTCGATATTTTGGTATTCGGTATAGTATTTGGTTTAAATTTTAAAAAATATTGGTACTAGGTATGGTATTTGGTATTTTAAAATGAAATACCGAAATACCGAAATATATATTATATTACACAATACACATATTATTAATTATAACATAAATATAAAAATCTAAAATTTTACTTTCATTTATTCTCTAAGTTCATCAATTAACTATAAGCAAGTAACAAGATATTTCTAATGATCAAATTTATTCTTTTATGTACAGTTTTCTCACTATGGGTTGATATTTGCTAGTTTTGGACAAAACTTTTGTCAACAAATATTTTTACTTTTGTATTTTTGAGTACTTTAATTTAGAATATTACAGTCTATGACTCTATGCACTAGTTAGTATTCAAACCGAATAAACCGAAGTTACCAAACCGAAACCGAAAGGAGAAAAATCGAACCATACCGAATTTAATTAGGTACGGTATTAATATTGCATTTTAAGAAACCGAATACCAAAAATACCGAACCGAACCGACCGACGAACACACCCTTATGTATATGTGTGTGTAGAGTTGAAAATCCTTTTGTAATATATTTTTATACTAACACCCAAGTGATTTCCATAAAGAGGTAGCAAGTTGAATGTATTTGCACTAAATAATTTAAATTTTTTGGATTAATATAATCTGTATCTTTATCAAAACGAGAAGTTTTTTTAATATGTCATTTGACAAAGATGAAAAAGAATTTTTATCAAGTCATTTTTGTTTCTCGCGAAT